GACAGCGTAAACCAAAGCAGGTTAATGGCGCAGTTGACAACAGTTGAAATGAAACCGGGAGAAAAAGGGATGGCGTATATCAGCCGATGTCGCGAACTGCGCGACAAGCTTCTTCGATGCGGAGGGTCAATCTCTGAAGACGCCTTCGTGACAGTCATCATTGGTGGTCTCGGTCCCCAATGGCGCGCCACCAAAGCTATCCTCCGAGCCCACGGCAGAATCTCTGAAGCAGCACTCTGCGCCGAAATCCACGCTGAGCAGCAGGACATGGACCTGCAAGAAGAACGACACAGAAAGAAGACGACAACATCAGAGTTCGCGTTTCACACTCAACGACGTCACAACAACTACAACAATCGACAGCAACAACCGAAGCCAGTACCTCCTTTCTGCCACATCTGCAAGACTTCAGGACACCCGCGCACACACTGCCCGAATCGACAACAGTCAACGACTTTGCAGCGACAGCTACGACCTTCAAGCAATCAAGTCGCATCAACACAGGCGAATCCAACGACCCAGCTCCAATCTTCAACAACCCCAACAGGACAACCTGCGCAAGGAGCAAAAAACATCGTTAGCTGCATGGCAAGACTGAACGATTCTTGCATCACAGAATCGCCACCGTACTACTCACCAGAAGAGCAATTCGACGAAACGACACCACGCCGCGAGTCACTTCAGCCGAACCCGACATACGCTGCCATAGCCCAAAACGAGCCATCCGGGAAGGACACGTGGTTCTTGGACAGTTGCTGCGGACAACACATGTGCTCCTCAGGACGCTTCGTACAACGAGAATACCAGCTTCAACGAGAGGTGGTCATCACCGTCGCCAACAATCAGAACCTGCGCACACGACGACAAGGAGTTGTTCAACTTCAGTCACGAGAAACGAACGTCATTCTACAGATGTCCAAGGTTTTAATTGCAGAAGGCCTCGGCTACAACTTACTCAGCGTCAGTCAACTGATGGCGAAAGGCATTCACCTTGAAGCAGACAGCACAACCCAGGAATTCAAGCTGTACCACGGGAGAGGAGGTCTCTACATCGGCAAGGCGGTTCTCAAGAACAACGTCTTCGTTCTTGACTTCGTCCCCGATCTCGGAACGGCCGACAGCGACGCCATCGTCAACTTCACTGACTGGACACATCCTCCAGATCTTGATCCAGACTTCAGCCCGAGCGGCTTCTGGTACTCACACACCATCCCTGAAACAGAAAGAACAAGGGCGCTGGCGACAATTCAGCAGTCGGCAGCAGCAGAGACAACATCGGCAGCAGCAGAGACAACATCGGCAACAGCAGAGACAACATCGGCAGCAGTAGAGACAACATTGGCAGCAGCAGAAACAACATCGATAGCAACACAGACAACAGCAGCAGCAGAAACATCAACACCAGTCGCCGGTCCCTCAACGGCACAGCCCTTCATCGACGAGACGCCGCCAACACCGGCGCAGCAGCTCAACCCGGCACCACGGGAAGTTCACAGAAGCGCGAACATCATCGCCGGCCTCTACTCCAACTCCGACATGTACCGACGCTCGCCAGGACACCGCGCCAACGAAGAAACCTGGCACGCAAGAATGGGACACCCAAGCAACACAGTATTAAACAACACGATAAGAGCTGGAGTACTTGACAAGGATTCACTCTTACTGATCGACGGCAGAGAACTTCAGCGAGCTCGAGGAACGTGCTTCACCTGCCCCGAAGCTGACTTACCGCATCAGCCCTTCGTCTCGCATCACAACCCAAGCGCACCTGCATATGCACCACTCGAGAAAGTGTACAGCGACATCTTGTACAACCGCGAACCCGGACAAAACGCGTATAACTACACCATCACCTTCATCGACGCCGCTACACGTTACGTCTGGCACCTAAACTTACCAAGTCGCGACATGGCTTTCGAGGCTTTCGTGGCATGGCTTCCAGCAGCAGAACGGGAATCGGGAGCTAAGCTCAAAAGTTTTCAATCAGACGGAGGAGGAGAATACTCGTCACAGCGGTTCAAGCAGTATCTGGCGGAGAAGGGAATCAAGAGACTCATCTCCCTTCCCTACGCCCATCAACAGCAGGGTGTAGCAGAAAGGATGAACAGGACTCTGCAGAACACCATGCGCAAACTGTTACGTGGCATGCGGCTACCCAACCACCAGTGGCCCGAAGCAATGGACCACGCCGTGATGCTGCACAACTTGCTTTCTTCGTCGTCACTCCCGAACAACACATCACCGCATCTGCTGTGGACAGGGAAACTGGGCAGCACAAAAATGTTACGAGTCTTCGGCTGCATGGTACAGTACCGACCCCCATCTGCACGAGCCGGCCGATTCTCCCAACGCGCACAGTGGGGACTACACCTGGGCATCGAAAAACATTACAACGCGTGGAAAATCTTCGACATCCACACCAAGGAAACAGTAGCAGCACGTGATGTCATTTTCTACGAACGGCTCACACTGCCAACGTACCTTGCCAACCTGGACGAAAATCGAGACCCCACAGGTGGCTTCCGTGGCGATCGAGCCTTCGCTTCGGCAGGAGACGAAGCTGACTGGGACGAGCAGAACGTGGAAGGAGCCTCGGAAGAAGCCGGACCTCTTCCCTACTGCTCAGTGGACGTACCGATGGACGAAGATAACCCTCGCGAAAGCGTCAACGCTGAAACCTACTACCACTTCGCCGACAACGGTTACGTTACACCTGCTGAAGTCAACACCAACGAAGCAGAACGCATAGGGCCCAACTTCGCACCTGATCCAGAAGCTGGAGACGAGGCAGTCTATCCCGAGGACACCACACTCCCCCGCTACACACAGAGTGGACTCCAGATACTTGGGCTCGTCACCGCAGTCCACGGCGCCGCCATTCCTAAAGAGCCTGCAACGATTCAGCAGGCTCTGGGGGGGGAACACAGGGAAAAATGGCGTGAAGCCATGGACAAGGAGCTGAAAGCGCTAGAAGAACGCAACACCTGGAAAATCGTTCCTATCGGCGTAGCACGAAACAAGACCATTCTCACCGGAAAATGGGTCTTCCGCGTGAAGACGAAAGCAGATGGCACCATCGACAAATTCAAGGCGCGCTGGGTCGTACGCGGCTTCGACCAAGAGCACGGACGCGACTTCACCGAAACCTTTGCTCCGGTCAGCCGACACACCTCACTACGCATTCTCCTCGCAATCGCCGCCATGAAGAAGAAAAAGCTACGACAAATCGACGTCGCAAACGCCTTTCTCTACGCACCTGTTGACGCAGAAATCTTCGTGGAGCTACCACACGGCTCCAGCACGGACTCCACACACGTCTGTCAACTACTCAAATCGCTCTACGGCATCAAACAAGCCCCACGACTGTGGCAACAGTACCTGCACGCCCGACTCGTTCGCATCGGCTTCAAGCAGCTACCGCACGATCAGGGAATGTATCGGCTCACGAAGGGTACAGACTACATCCTCCTAATCGTCTACGTAGACGATTTACTCTACATCGGCTCGACAGACAACGTCACCTCCTGGTTCGAAGGGGAGCTGCAGAAAGACCTCACGCTCACGGTCTCGTCTACCGTCACACAGTACCTCGGCCTCAACATCCGAGAAGAAGAAGATGCGATCTACCTCAACGCCGCGAAATATGCCGACACCATCGCCAAACGCTTCGCTCTCACACCAGCCGCCATCTCCACGCCATACCGCTACACGACAGGAACCGAGAAGGGACGATCCACTCTACTCAAACCAGCCGGCATACGCGACTATCAGAGGAAGCTCGGATGCCTCCTCTTCGCAGCCGTCACTTGCCGTCCCGACCTCTCATACTCCGCAAGTCAACTCGCCACCTACCTCAAGAGGCCTGAAGCAGAACATCTGGCGGAACTTGACCGCGCTCTTCACTACTTCATCAGCACCGCGACGATCGGCCTAACCTACCACAAGAACGCAGCTACACCAACTAAGCTAATCGGCTATGTCGACGCCGATCACGCCGGCGACTCCGACAACAGGCGCTCACGTACCGGCTACGTCTACCGCCTCGAACCTATCGGACCTATCTCCTGGCAGTCGAGCAAGCAGGAGTTAATCGCGTTATCATCAGCTGAGGCAGAATATATCGCACTCTGCTCAGCCACCAAGGAAGGCCTTTATCTTCGCGAGCTGCTGGAAGAAGCAAAGTTAGCTGAGTTACCCAACTTCACCCTGTTCTGCGACAACCAGTCTGCAATTCGCATCGCCAACAAGAACGGCTTCGCGAACAGGACGAAACATATCGCCCTGCGTTACTTCTTCGTGAAGGACGAGATCGAGAAGGGGAGACTTCAGCTGTCATACTGTCCCACGTCCGAGATGGCAGCCGATTATTTGACCAAGAAACTCGGAAAGCAGAAATTCGAGTACTGCGTGTTGCTGACTGGACAAAGCCACGTCATCAAGAGCGACACTCCAGAAGCGAAGGGGAGTGTTGGAAACAATAAAATGTAAACGCCTCTGTCGTGTCGAAACACCACACCAGAAGCGAAGCACGCCATGTCGAAGCACCCGCGAGTCAACCCTCGGAGGTTAAAAGAGGTTGCTGGAGGTTACGCGAAAGTCAAAGGTCAAGCGACCTTTGACCTGACAAATACAGCGCGACAGTTAAGGACACACAACTGACTCGTTACAGAGCAGTTGCCCGAGTCGTACTGTATCGAACCGCAACAGCAACAGTAAAGTAGTTACAAACTGCATCCTTTCATATTCCTTGTATTATTATATAATCTTGTACTTCCTTGCTATAATCAATCTACTTTGCCCTCACATACTAGCGCAAGGTGGTTCACAAACTTTTGTTAAACGCTTCCGCTATTACAACACTATCCATCCAGAGTTCTCCCTTGAAAGATCCTAAGGGGCTATCTCAGCCCAACACCCTCTATCCCTCTCACTCCTCCCCTCCTCTCCCTCATCTGCTGCCGTCAACCACCATCATCATTGTTGCAGAGCAGCCACTGCATTTATTCTTCATCGTCACTGTCTTCTTCCCTTTCCATTCCATACCAGTGCCCCTGCAATTGAAACGCCAACAAAAAGGCTGTTAGGGAAAGAGAAAGAAAGGGGAAGGCAGAAAGAGGAGGAATTGCATACCTTGGTGCAAACACAGTGGACAATGGTCGGAACGATGACATTGACATTCGGGTTGAAAGTGAGGAAGGGAGCGAACGCCATTTTGAACATAACCTGTACTTCACAACCGTTCCAAACCTGCCACACAAAGAATTTAACCCATGAAGACTACGTTGAACTAATTGGCATGGACGAAGGTGCTAACATCTTATTCAAAAAAATCTGTCGCAATAGCAAAACATTTGAGGACGCAACGGCGAGAGCAGACACAACACATACCTCGGAGGAGCAGAAAGGGCAGAACTCATCCTTCATGAAAGGATATTCAGAAAATGCATCATAGAACCTGTTGTAATTGGCAGCGACATTGTTACAGCAAAAATTACACTACTCAATATCCGCAGCCACCACCATCATGCCCTCAAAAATCACCACCACAGAGCCATGGCTAGATCATGAAAAAAAGGAACGAGAAAACAGTACCTACACGAGCATCAAGAGCGAGCATCATCAAACAATGGCAGACTAGACTAGACATGGCAGTAAGGGCTCCGGTTTAGTGGGGTCAGAGCAAAGAATAACCAAAAACAACTGCACAGCTCTAAACAGAGAATACGGACGCTTGGATATTTCATATAGCACCACGGTTGGAAAGTCACTTACTCTGTCTCTCGAAAGTCAACAATGAGCCCTTGAAGGAGACAGCAGCGCATGTCCAACTTCGTGGTCCGTATGTGGCGTTTGCACATACTCATTAGGGCAAAGATCCTAGGATTTCCCCCCCATGCAGACAGAAGCTTAAAGGTCGGGGCAAAGTTTTCGCAGTGCGGCTTGCTGAGCACGCGGCGATCATGCTTCTCCACCTCGCGCGCCACCCACGGAGGCGGCTTCAGATACGGCCGGAACTTGGCGCCAGTCCAGTAACTCCGGCTCTGCAGGTGCGCGGGCGTCACGCCGGGACACACGTTGAAGAGCTTCCCCAGCGCAGCCGCGTCGCCGTTCCTCATTCGCGCCACCTGCCGCTGCAGCCTCTCGCGCCCAACGACGCGATTCCTAATCTCGGACTCGCTAAGAGGAGAGTCGCCATCCGCGTCGCCTTGGGAGTCTTCGCGCGAGAAGGAGTCAGCGAGCGCGTCGCGGCAGTGCCAGCGCCACAGCAGGTCGCCCGCCATGCCACGGTACCGCGTCGACACGCACGCCATCCGCGCGATGTGCGGCCCGGGTGTTTTAACGCGGCGCAAAATTGCGTACACGCACTCCGGAGGCAGGCGATCCATGGGCTCGGATGCGCAAAGGTTTCGCTGGTGGCACTACTGGTCGTTTCACGGGGAAGATGTTGATTGCAGTGTGGAAACCGGCGATTCAAGAAACGGCAGATCGATAGAAACGGACGGAGGGAATGTGCTGGACCGAGAAAACGGATAATGGAACGCAAGAGTGGCGGTGCAGGGGATAGGATCGAGGCAGAACGGAGGTAACCATCCCAGCCCCGCCGCAATCACCCCGCAGACTAGACGCCCCGAACGCCATTTTGAGATCTAACGCCTGACAGAAAACGTCGGGATAAGGCACTGACATGCAGCGCGGGTCCTCGTTGGCACAAGAAGAGCCTCGCCAGTTTGGCGACTTCGAAGCCGAGCAAAAATGGCAGTTGACGTTCCCAAGGAGCACAACGAGATGTGGCCATTCCTGCGTGGCTTGCGGAAAAGGGAGGGGGCTGGAGACAGGCCTGTCGAAGTGTTTGGGGCCAGAACTTGGAGCCCTCTACTCCAAATCTTGCCCGTATTTCTACGGGCGTAAGCCGAATCCAAACTTGAAATCAGGGCTACGGAAGAGAGTGTCCTTGAGGTTGACGAAAGGACAACATAGTTCAGATGTTAGCCTAATGGGATCGAGCATTCACTCGTAGCCTATGGGAAAATTTGCCTGTTCGCCACTACCCCCTCACCACACTTGCCACTTTCTCGTGAATTTGATGAGTGGGTTGGGGCGGGGGCAGGGGGTGGGGGGTCCTTCAAATCAAAATCAGTACTTGAACACAGGGGAAGACCCGAATGGAGCCCTTAACCGTCACGGGCTCCATGCGTATCAAAAACTTTAAATGGTCGAGGTGCTCTTAACCTAGCCCGGAATGTTCAGGGCATTAAGGAAAAATGCCCTTACTTCGTCAGCCCTGGTTGGGGAGCCCAGAGGAATCTGCTGTTCCCAATGTATTTGAGAAAGAGGTGGTTCTGTGATCAAGGTTCGGCACCTGTTTCGTAACGCGGTTTGTTTGTGACTGAGCCGTAACTGAGAAAATGCCAGGCGCAGCACAAAAACCGAGCGCATGAATGAGAATGAAAACGAGCCTAGGGCAAGAACTGGCACACATCCGGTGTCAAAGTACGGATACGGTTTCAATTCCTCCCGCTCGTCGCAACCTGGTTGCACAGAATGAGTTGGCGAAACCCCTTGATGTCAATCAGGATTACGCCCTAGGCCAACCCAAGCAGTAACACCTCCTTTTCTTGTAGCCACAGACATACGCGCTAGAGAACGATGGAGGGAGAAGATAAGCGTCCGAACTTTGTTTTGTGTTGTGTTCAAGACACGGCAACAGAGCTTGATCGAGGACCAGAGCACGAGCTGCCGTGGGAAGCTCGCGCTCCCGCATCTCACGCGTCACGTGTCATCCTCATCGCACCGCTTCCCGTCGCAGTTGTCGCCTCCACCGTTGTAACCGGCGGCATTCAACCCCAGCCACTCCGCACCCATGCTTAACCAGGCTCGCTCGCGCGCGGCCTCACGGCTACCCGCGCCGTGCCACGTGGCGGGCCGGATCTGTGCCGGATACAGCACGGATCTACGGGCAGCCGGCTCGCACGATCAGATCGCGAGGCGTGGATCGGGTTTGAGCGATGCGGGTACTGTGCTGCTGCCATGCGACGCGGCTGGCACCAGCGCCAGTAAGGTCGCGCTGCTGCATCTCGACTCTTAGTACCTCCCACGGCCCACATCCCGCGTCGCGCATCCCACATGCCCGCTTTTCTCCGCGCGACGACCTTTCGCCGCGTCGCATTCCCGTTGCGAAGTTCCCCGACAACTGCCCGTTCAAACGCTGCCGTCCTCGTGGCTCACGATTCGCAGTTGGTGCCACGTCGCTCGTTACGCGAGTGATCGTAGCACCCCGTCTTATCGCGCGCCTCGCTCCTTCTTTCGTTTCCCTGTCCGGAACCCCAGGTGCCATGGAGATCGCGTCGGCTCCCGCGCCGACCGGCTCCGTCGCGTGCGCGTCGGCGGCCGTGGACGATGCGCGCGTGGTGCCTTGGAGCGACATGCCGCGGGTCCCACGGCGATTAGCGGGCGGCAGCAGCAGCGACGGTCTAACGGCGTGCAGCAATGCAGCAGCCGCGGCGCTCGCGCTGACTCTCAATCCGTGTCCTGGGAGCCAACACACACCAACAACGTCACCGCCGCCTCCTCTTTATATAAACCCGCCGCAGCGCCACCATCGCAACTCGCCTCTCCATTCCGCTCTCTCCCCTGCCCTCTGTCTCTCTGCGCTCCATGCACCGCGACCCGCCTGCACTCCATTCCAACCACCTGCAGACACGTGGCGGGCCAGCTTGCCATTCAACGGTGCGTGGCATGCGCGTTGTGCCATGGCCGTTTCGGCATATTGGGAGGGTGCGCTGCTCACATACAGCATTGTGAGAGTGACGTGGCATTGCCATGGGAATGTACTGACAGCACAACCGCCGTATTCAATCCGCTGCCCATTCCCGGATTCAACCCTCCTTTCTCATCCCCTCACTGAAGCCCTCCCTCGTTCGCTGTCTCACTGCGCCCCCCTCCCACCTGTCCCCCTCCCCCACGCGCGTCCTTCACGCCACTCCACCCCGTGTGCCGTACAGTCGCGGCAGCAGCATCAGGCAGGGCGTACGGGCGCGGCCACGTGCAGGTGCGCACACAGCGGCCCTCCCTAGCCGCGCATAACACCTCGCATGCAGCACACACGAGTCTGGTCCGCTTATGAGTTGCTGGAGTGCACATACGCGGTAGATTCACCCACCTGTCTGCAACTCCTCTCACACCTGACACTTCCATGTAATGTGCTCATCACATTTCCACTTGGCTTGTCCCTCATCTTAGTCTCTTTCCCCTCCATCTCCCCTCGGCCTCCCCCTCCGCCTCCCCCTCCGTTTCTCCCTCCGTCCCGGCAGCAGCCGGTGGGTGCGTATCACTCAGCTGCTGCTACAGATGGCTCTCAGGCGGTCAGCAAGTTCGAGGAGGTGAGCCGCCCTCTGCTGCTCTTTCGCTTCGCTGCCATTGCTGCTGCTGCTGCTTCTGCTGCTTGAAGTAAAAATGTGACGCCCGTACCCCCCTATGTGCATGGATGCACATGTGTATGTGTGCACGGTTGGCCGGTGTCAGCTTGGGCTGGGTTGCTTGTCACTAAGTGGAATAGACGGGTCGGGGCGAAGTTGATGGTTCGCGTCAGACCTTGCTAGCGAGAGTTAATGGTTTGACTCATGTTGCATGGTTTGGCACGCAACTTGACAACAGACATAACTTACTGGAGTGTGCCTTCGCCACACGTGTGGGGAACACTGGGTGTACACTCATTGTTATTCTGTCACACTCATACGTGCGTACCCCTTTTTACATATTATTGTGGTAGTGAAGGGGCGGTGGGGAGTGCGCTTCACATGATTGACTGATTCGACCTGTCCAACTCATCAGTGTGTCTTCCTCCCCCCCTTCTCCCATGCTCTATGCGTGTGTGCGTGTGTGCGTGCATGCGTGCATGCGTGTGTGCGTGTGTGCGTGCGTGCGTGCGTGCGTGCGTGCGTGTGTGCGTGCGTGCGTGCGTGTGTGCGCACCTCTGTGCCTGTGTGCGTGTGTGTATGTGTGCTTGCTCGCGTCCCTGTGTGTGCGTGGGTGTGAGTGTATGGTGGGGGGGTGGTGAGGGGGCGTGTGTGTGTTTGTGTGGGTGCATGTGTGGGTGCATGTGTGTGTGGCGGGGGGAGGGGTGGGGGGTGCTGTGTGTGCGGCAGCAGGTTGGGCCAGTGGACCCGTTCTCGCTAGTGGCGGACGAGCTAGCAGGCCTGGCAGACAAGATGCGTGCAATGATCCTTTCAGAGGTACACCCTCGTCTCTCCATTCCTTCTATCCCTCACCCCCTCTGCTCCACCCCTTGCCCCCTCTGCTCCACCCCTCGCCCCCTCTGCTCCACCCCTTGCCCCCTCTGCTCCACCCCTCGCCCCCTCTGCTCCACCCCTCGCCCCCTCTGCTCCACCCCTCGCCCCCTCTGCTCCACCCCTTGCCCCCTCTGTTCCATGCTGCATGCCTCCTATACAAGAGTCGAGCATCGTTTTGTCACTCCAATCGCCAAAAGGAGTTCATTCGACAATTAGGAACGATGTTTAGCAGCGTGAGTGCCACTTGACATGACATCACGTGTGGGTGGGTGGCTGCTGTGCATCCCGTGCCGCCGCGCACCACAGATCCCCAAGTTGGCCACGGCAGCGGACTACTTCTTCAGAGTCGGTGCCACCGGCAAGCGCTTCCGCCCCACTGTGAGACCCCTCATGCATTCGTTACCACAATAACTGTTGTGCTTGCCTTTGGCAATGCTCGTTCGTGCATGCGTCTTGGTGGTCTGTGTTTGATCCAAGTATTCTGCACGTACCCTCCTCCCTCTCCCTCCCACCCCCGCCACACCCTCCCGTTCCCCATTTTTGTTCCTTACTTCCTCAACTTGGCGCCCGTGTTTTATCGTTTTGTTCAAAGCCTTTTTTTTCTTGATGCTGCTACTTTTCCTTCCCGCCCGCCCTCCCTCCCTCCCTCCCTCCCTCCCTCCCTCCCTCCCTCCCTCCCTCCCTCCCTCCCTCCCTCCCTCCCTCCCTCCCTCCCTCCCTCCCTCCCTCCCTCCCTCCCTCCCTTCCTCCCTCCCTCCCTCCCTCCCTCCCTCCCTCCCTCCCTCCCTCCCTCCCTCCCTCCCTCCTCCCTCCCTCCCTCCCTCCCTCCCTCCCTCCCTCCCTCCCTCCCTCCTCCCTCCCTCCCTCCATCCCTCCCTCCCTCCCCCCCCCTCCCTCCTTCCCTCCCTCCCTCCGCGCCCTTCCTCTCCTTATGCCCTCCATCCATCCATCCATCCATCCATCCATCCATCCATCCATCCATCCATCCATCCATCCATCCATCCATCCATCCATCCATCCATCCATCCATCCATCCATCCATCCATCCATCCATCCATCCATCCATCCATCCATCCATCCATCCATCCATCCATCCATCCATCCATCCATCCATCCATCCATCCATCCATCCATCCATCCATCCATCCATCCATCCATCCATCCATCCATCCATCCTTCCTTCCTTCCTTCTCATGTGTCCATTTCTCCTGCACCACCGCCCATACATCACATGGCCCCCACCCCATGCGCGTGTGGTGCGCGCCGCATGGGGTGTGCGCAGGTCATTCTGCTCATGGCGTCGTCCCTGGACCACACCCACTGCACGCCTACCGTCGCGCTCTCAGGGGCACCAGGAGTGTCATTGGTGGAGGTGCCAGTGGGGGAGGTGTTTACTGCGGAGGAGAGGAGGGAGAGGCAACGGAGAATAGCGGAGATCACGGAGATGATCCATGTATGCCTTCTCGCCTCGCCCCCCACCCACTCATTGCTGTTTTTCATAGATGTACATTGCATTCTCATGTCCCTTCCCCCCCCCCCCCCCCCCCCCCCCCCTCCACCACCTCGTGTTTGTACATGACGGTGATGTGAGTGAGCATGTGCGGTGACACAGAGCATCATATGTGACTCTTATCTGCCTCTCTGCACTGTGTGTTCTGGTGTGTAAATGTACTGTGCACATGTGCATGTTTGTGGGTGTGTGCATGTGCATGCATGCATGTGTACATGTGTGCACGCGTACACGTGTGCATGTGTACATGTGTGGATGTGTACATGTGTGCATGTGTACATGTGTGCATGTGTACATGTGTGCATGTGTACATGTGTGCATGTGTACATGTGTGCATGTGTATGTATGCGTCTGCGTATGTGCATGTGTGGATTTGTGCAAGTGCGCATGGATGTGCGTGTGCCCATGTGTGCATATGCATGTGAGCATGTGTGCATTTGTGCATGTGCATTTGTGCATGCATGCGTGGCATGGCAACGTGGCACCAGGTGGCGAGTCTGCTGCATGACGATGTGTTGGACCATGCGGACACCAGGCGAGGAGTCTCATCGCTCAACTACATGATGGGCAACAAGGTGCCGCGCTGCCCTCTACACACACACACCACCCACGCCTCAACTGGGCATTGCGCAGGGTTGTGCTTGCTCCCCTCGTGTTGCGACCCTTGCATCCCCCCCCCTCCCCTTTACCCCCCTTACGCCCACTCGTCTCCCCCTCCAGTCTTGCTTCCTTTCCTCCACTTGGCTTCTTTGCCCCTTTTCACCTAATCTTGTCACATCCAACCCAATCCCTTTTATGCCCTATCCCCCTTCCCACCTCTATACATACGCGCGCTTCTCTGTCCCACCCTCCCCACCCGCTCTCCCCACCCCGTTCTCCCCCACGGCCCTGCACAGCTGGCAGTGCTGGCGGGGGACTTTCTGCTGGCGCGGGCGTCAGCAGCGCTGGCGGGGCTGCGCAACACGGAGGTGGTGGAGCTGCTGTCCGCCGTGCTCGAGCACCTCGTGGGCGGCGAGGTCATGCAGATGACCGCCGACCCCGCCCAGTGCAGCAGGTGCGCCTCTGCCTGCCCACTGCACTCAATGGCAGTGCAGTGGGCAGTGCAGTGGGGTTACGCATGCGCACCCGAGCTCATTGTGATCATCCTTACATGCACCTATCTCTCCCTTGCATATCAACTCTATCCCACTCTGTTCTAGTAGAGCTAATGCTATCATGCACCCTCTCCCCCCGCCCGCACTCCCTCCCTCCCCCCCCCCCCCCCCCATGGCCCAGCATGGAGTATTACATGCGCAAGACGTTTCTCAAGACGGCGTCGCTGATCGCCAACAGCTGCAAGGCCGTGGCCGTGCTGGGCGGCCACGATGCCGCCACGGCACAGCTCGCCTACGACTACGGCCGCCACCTCGTCAGTCGCCCTCACCCCCTAACTCCTCCCCCTCTCCTACTCGCCTCGCCCCTAGCCGCTCGACTCTAGGCCCTCGACCTGCGTACTCCTGATCCCTCCTTACCCAATACTTGCTGCTCGTGCCTTGCGTCCATTGGACATGTCTGTGCGTCTCATGCCCTCACGCCTCCTTGTTCTGTTCTTCCTTGCGTCAAGTCTCCCTAGCTCCACCGTGCCACCGCCACTGCCCCCTGTTTCTTGTGCTGTTGCCCGTGCACAGGGCCTGGCGTTCCAGCTGGTGGACGATGCCCTCGACTTCACAGGCTCGCTCGCCTCCCTGGGCAAACCCGCTCTCAATGACATCGCTCAGGTCCGCACCATGCATGGCATGGCATGGCATGGCATGGCATGGCATGGCATGGCATGGCATGGCATGGCATGGCATGGCATTGCATGGCATGGCATGGCATTGCATGGCATGGCATGGCATGGCATGGCATGGCGTGGCATGGCGTGGCGTGGCGTGGCGTGGCGTGGCGTGGCGTGGCGTGGCGTGGCGTGGCATGGCATGGCATGGCATGGCATGGCATGGCATGGCATGGCGTGGCGTGGCGTGGCGTGGCGTGGCGTGGCGTGGCGTGGCGTGGCGTGGCGTGGCGTGGCGTGGCGTGGCGTGGCGTGGCGTGGCGTGGCATGGCGTGGCATGGCATGGCATGGCGTGGCATGGCATGGCATGGCATGGCATGGCGTGGCGTGGCGTGGCGTGGCATGGCGTGGCATGGCATGGCATGGCGTGGCATGGCATGGCACGGGACGGCACAGCACGGCACGACACGGCACGGCAGGGCATGGCATGGTGTGGCGTGGCGTCGCGTGGCGTGGCATGGCATGGCGTGGCGTGGCGTGGCGTGGCGTGGCATGGCATGGCATGGCATGGCGTGGCGTGGCGTGGCATGGCATGGCGTGGCATGGCGTGGCATGGCATGGCATGGCATGGGATGGCATGGCATGGCATGGCATGGCATGGTGTGGCGTGGCGTGGCGTGGCATGGCATGGCATGGCGTGGCGTGGCGTGGCGTGGCGTGGCATGGCATGGCATGGCATGGCAGGGCATGGCATGGCGTGGCGTGGCGTGGCGTGGCGTGGCATGGCATGGCGTGGCATGGCATGGCATGGCATGGCGTGGCGTGGCATGGCATGGCATGGCGTGGCATGGCGTGACGTGGCAGGGCATGGCGTGGCGTGGCATGGCATGGCATGGCACGGCACGGCACGGCACCGCACAGCACGACACGTCATGGCGTGGCATGGCGTGGCGTGGCGTGGCGTGGCGTGGCGTGGCGTGGCGTGGCGTGGCGTGGCGTGGCGTGGCGTGGCGTGGCGTGGCGTGGCGTGGCGTGGCGTGGCGTGGCATGGCATGGCATGGCGTGGCATGGCGTGGCATGGCGTGGCATGGCATGGCATGGCATGGCGTGGCGTGGCGTGGCATGGCATGGCGTGGCATGGCGTGGCATGGCATGGCATGGCATGGGATGGCATGGCATGGCATGGCATTGCATGGCATGGCATGGCGTGGCGTGGCGTGGCGTGGCATGGCATGGCGTGGCGTGGCGTGGCGTGGCGTGGCGTGGCATGGCATGGCATGGCATGGCATGGCAGGGCATGGCATGGCGTGGCGTGGCGTGGCGTGGCGTGGCGTGGCATGGCATGGCGTGGCATGGCATGGCATGGCATGGCATGGCGTGGCGTGGCATGGCATGGCATGGCATGGCGTGGCGTGGCATGGCATGGCATGGCGTGGCATGGCATGGCATGGCACGGCACGGCACGGCACGGCACGGCACGGCACGGCATGGCATGGCATGGCGTGGCGTGGCGTGGCGTGGCGTGGCGTGGCGTGGCATGGCATGGCGTGGCATGGCGTGGCATGGCGTGGCATGGCATGGCATGGCATGGCATGGCATGGCGTGGCGTGGCGTGGCGTGGCGTGGCATGGCATGGCATGGCATGGCAGCACGTCGTGGCATGGCACAGCACAGCACGGCACAGCATGGCATGGTATGGAACCCCCACCAACACTGTACACCTGGCACAGGCAATAGTGCGAGCATTAGCATTCTGTACATGAGTCCGTGTCCGACCTCTTGCTGCATTGTCCGGTCTCCTCTCATCCCCTGCTGCTGTCTCTCCCCTCCTCTTCCCGGCACTGTCTGTGTGGGCATCAGGGGCTGGTGACGGCGCCGGTGCTGTTTGCAGCGGAGCAGCACCCCGGCATGCACCGCCTCATGGACCGCAAGTTCTCCCACCCCGGGGACGTGCAGCAGGTGCCGTGGGCCACGGATGAGGAAGTGGAGGAGAGGGGGATATGTGGAGGAAGGGGGTTGGGGAAGGAAAGGGACGGGTTTTGTGTAGTGGGGAGGGGTTTTACGAAGTGAGGAGGAGGGCGGGAAGGTGGGGAGATGAGTGGGTGTTGGTGTTGATGTGAAGCTTGCACGTGCACAGTGATTGCACTTCTTACCCGCCTCCGTGCCTAGCAAAAGCGCACTCCCTCGCCACGCATGTGTACTTCCACCATTGAGTCATGCCATGCCTCTTGTCGCTGTGCTCACCATCTCCCTTGTTCCCCGGCAGGCCGTGGTGTGGGTGGAGCAGAGTGGGGGAGTGGCGCGCACCAAGGCACTGGCAGCGGAGCACTGTGCGCTGGCAGTGCAGGCGGTGCAGGCCATGCCAGCAGCCAGCACGGAGTATGCACACCGATGCCGCCTGGGACTCATTGAGCTCACTCACCTCGTGCTCTCTCGCTCCAAGTAGCCCTGCCCCTTGTGCACTGCCCTCTGCCCTCTCTTCACTACTGGTACTGACCTGCCTTCTACATCATCTTGCATCGGTGGCAGCCGCGTGTTCTTGTTGTGTCAAGGATGTGGTAATGATTCCGGTAATCCTCTGTTGTGATTCGGTGCGCATTTGTCAAGATGATGGCTTCTATTGTGCTGCATGTTGATCCTGTCAAGAGGTGACACAAACAAGTGGGTGCTAACAGTAGAGCATACCGTACAAGGGTTATACAATACTTGCAATGTTGTACCCCAGCCATAGGGAGTGATCCAACCCTAGCCTACCGGTATATCAAACATACCACTACCGTATATAATTTGAGACAGGCCTTAAAGCTGCGGTCTACATACTTCGTGCGAGAGACAAAAGATTATCACTCCAAAACAGGGTAACCTTGCCTCCACAAGTACCCCTTTGCGGAGTAAACGAACAATGGAAGTGGATGGAGGGAGGGGGGTTCGGAAATCAACGGCGGAAAGACTCCGCTTTCACCGGTTTAGAACTTGACCCACTTCGATTCAGTTTGTGTACCATATATCTCAAGCCCATGAAAGCCCAAGTTGATTCCATCTCTCACATACTTCAGCCAAAGCAGAGATAAGAGTAGCTCATAACAACCTATGCCGCCCAGCTCCCCCAGTGCGTTCTAGCGACACTGCTCGCATCGGCTGCTAATTACTTGCGCAGACAAGCACACCGCCGCCTTCTGTTACGCGCACGGTGCCGCGTTTTGGGTTGCACTTGCCACCGTGTTTTGCTCTACACTCGGTGCCGCATTTTGGTCCGCGCGTGCCCACCGCGTTTTGATCCACGCTGGCCCCGCGTTGTGCTCCGCGCTTGCCCCGCATTTTGCTCCGCGCCTGCCCCGCGTTTTGCTCCGCGTTTGCTTCCACGTTCTGCTCTGCGCTCGTCGCCGTGTTTAGCTCGCCTCGTCGCCGGAACCACTCCTCGCTTTCCACTCCCTGCCTTCCACTCCCCGCTTTCTGCTCATCGTTTTCCGCTCACCGCTTTCCGCTCATCGCTTTCCGCTCCTCGCTTTCCGCTCATCGCTTTCTAGTGCTCTCCCTTACTCCCATCTCTCCCTCATTCCGCGTTCTGCCTTATTTCCCAATCACGTGTTCATAGTTCTCTGCATCATAAGTAGGTCTCCTATCCCTAATCTCTTGTCAAATTGCATTGTTATCTCTAGGCTGTAGTGGGGCATACTCTATGGAGTACAACACTTTAGGTCAATCCTAGTACTTGTGTTAAGTTGTAATGTGTTATTTATATGTAGGTAGGCTGTAGTGGGGTAGCCAATACAGGGTACAAACCCAACTAGGGTTAGCTACTTGTACCCAACTGTTTCTTTCAATCCAGCCATTCTTGCCTAGTTCTATTAACATGGTATTCAGAGCAGGAGGTCCCTAGGACCTACCGACCGTTTTTTTTTAAGGGCCCACCACCGCTCGCATGCGGTTACCACGCTACCCCGTGCCCTAGCCTCGTAGCGCCCTCGTGCGCCCTCGTTAGCGCCCTCGTGCGCCCTCGTTAGCGCCCTCGCGCGCCCTCGTTAGCGCCCTCGCGCGCCCTCGTTAGCGCCCTCGCGCGCCTCTCGTTAGCGCCCTCGCGCGCCCCCGCTAGCGCCCTCGCGCCCCCCCCTTGTTAGCGCCCTCGTGCGCCTCTCGTTAGCGCCCTCGCGCGCCCCTCGCAGCGTCGCCCGCCCGCCGAGCCGCCCGCTCGCAGCGTCGCCCGCCTACCGCGCTGCCCGTTTCGCAGCCCGCCCGCCGCGCTGCCCGCTCGCAGCGTCGCCCGCCCGCCCGCTGCCCGCTTGCAGCGTCGCCCGCCCGCCCGCTGCCCGCTTCGCAGCGTCGCCCGCCCGCCGCGCTGCCCGCTCGCAGCGTCGCCCGCCCGCCTCGCTGCCCGCTTGCAGCGTCGCCCGCCCGCCCGCTGCCCGCTTCGCAGCCCGCCCGCCGCGCTGCCCGCTCGCAGCGTCGCCCGCCCGCCTCGCTGCCCGCTTGCAGCGTCGCCCGCCCGCCCGCTGCCCGCTTGCAGCGTCGCCCGCCCGCCCGCTGCCCGCTTCGCAGCCCGCCCGCCGCGCTGCCCGCTCGCCGCGTCGCCCGCCCGCCCCGCTGCCCGCTTCGCAGCCCGCCCGCCGCACTTCCCGCCTGCAGCACCGCGCTGCCCGCTTCGCAGCCCGCCCCCCGCACTGCCCGCTCGCCGCGTCGCCCGCCCGCCGCGCTTCCCGCCGAGCTACCTACCTGCAGCGCTGCGGCAGCTTCCTTTGCTCAGTCGCACTGTCGCTATGGCTTCCATCCGCGTGCTGTCGTTCGATGCTGAGGGCCGCCCTGTGAAGTTCGCCACTTGGCTGGATGACCTGCAGCTGTTCCTTCTGAGCGATAGCAAGGAGCATGTGTCGCTCTATGATTACGCGTCTGGTGCTGCACCTGCCCCTCCTACCACAGCTGAGCTTAGTGTTCGTTCCCACTGGCAGACTCGTGACGCAGCTGCTCGCCTAGCCATTCACAGTCACCTGCCGCTAGCTGAGCTCGAGCATTTTGGCGACTGCAAATCCGCTAAGGCCCTGTACGATGCTGTCGTTGCTCGCTACTCCTCGCCTGCCACAGCCGAGCTTAGCCGCCTCATGCTGCCGTACCTGTTCCCTGAGCTGTCCACCTTTGCTACAGTCGCCGATCTTATCACTCACCTTCGCACTAGTGATGCTCGCCTGCGTGCCGCCCTTCCCACCGAGTTCTGCGCTAAGAATCCCCCTCCACTGTACTGGACACTCCACTTCATAGTCACCCATCTCCCTGACACCCTCAGCTCAGTTCGAGACCACTTCCTTGCTCGCTGTCCCACTGAGCTCACAGTCGCCCTCCTAGAGGAGCAGCTGCTAGCGGCCGAAAAGAGCATTGTCGCTGTCGGTGCTGCTCGTGGCGCTCCTCGCACCCCCATCTTTGAGGGGTGTTCTCCCTCTCCCCTCGCTCCCTCCTACGCTACTGCTGCTGCTGTTGACTTCCTTGGTGCTGAGTCTGCTGGCGCTGCTTCTGCTCCTGGTGGGAGGCGCCGCACCGGCAAGGGCAAGGGGGGCAAGGGTGGCGGGGGTGGCGCTGGGGGGGGAGGAGGTGGGGGAGGTGGGGGGGGAGGCGGTGCTGGAGGGAGCGGTGGCGGGAGCGCTGGTGGGAGTGGGGTCGGGGGGAGGCGGGGAGCGTGGCAGTAGTGGCGGCGGCGCGGCGGCGGCGGTGGCAGCGGTGGCGGTGGTGGCGGTGGTGGCGGTGGCGGTCGGAGCGGTGGTAGTGGTGGCGGCGGAGGTCGGAGTGGAGGCACTGGCTCGGGCCAGAGCTCCCAGCAGCAGCAGCGTCCCCAGTCGACCCAGCAGCTTCGTGAGTGGCTTGCTCAGCGTGGGACGTCGGGGGGCAGTGGCCGCTGTTCCTATGTCATTCGCACAGGTGACCGCAAGGGACAGACGTGTGGGAGGTTCCACACCCCGTACCGCTGCTTCTCCCGCCTTGACGACGCTTGGCGTGAGGAGATGGGCGAGGATGTTGAGCGCCCCCGCTGGGCTGAGCTCATGAGGGCTGGTGTTGATATCTTTGCTCTTGACTATGATGCTATTATTGCTGCCATGTATGCATTGACTGTTAGTGCCGAGGGAGACTGTTACTTGTGTGTGCCGCCTGACCCAGGTATAGAGCCCGCTGCCCTGGGTACTAGTGAGTCTGCTCTCTCTGGTATGGTGCCCCCTGTGCTTGCTCCCTCCAGTGCTGTCCCGGCTGTTTGCGAGTCTGCTCTCTCAGGTACAGCACCCACAGAGACTGCTCTCTCAGGTACCGCACCGGCTGAGGCCTGTCACACCTTCACCCTTGACTCAGGTGCTTCCCGCTGTTTCTTTCGTGACAGTACTGAGCTCACACCGCTTCCTGCACCGGTCCCAGTCTCCTTGGCTGACCCCTCTGGGGGCCCAGTCCTTGCCCAGTCCACCACTGTGCTCCCTTGTCCGGCGGTTCCGTCTGGCTCGTTGTCTGGTTTCCACCTCCCCTCGTTCTCGACGAACCTGGTGAGCAACGCTGTCATCCAGGATCAGTGGGTTGACACCTTTACCCCTGGAGGACAGCGTGTGGCGATCTGCACGTGCTCCAGGACCGGCCGTCACCTGGCTACGTTTACTCGTCGGCCGGGGTCGAGTCTCTACACACTGACCACTGCGTCTCCTCAGGTTGCTGCTGTCGGTCAGGTGTCCGCGTCAGGTCTGGTGGCCCACGCCTGTGAGTGTCGTTCCCTGTCGCACCAGACTCTTCTCTGGCACCACCGCCTGGGTCACCCCTCCTTGCCACGCCTCCGTGGCATGCACCGTCGCAGCCTTGTGTCTGGTCTTCCCAGGTCCCTCCCTCCCCTCCCTGCCTCGCCTGCGCCGCCTTGCCTTCCTTGCGTCGAGGGGCGGCAGCGCGCCGCTCCTCACTCCTCCTCGTTCCCCCCGACAGAGGCTCCTCTGCAGACCCTCCACCTGGACGTGTGGGGCCCAGCCCGCGTTCGTGGCCAGGGCGGTGAGCGGTAAATTTTGCTGGTTGTCGACGACTACTCGCGTTACACCACGGTCTTCCCCTTGCGCACCAAGGGTGAGGTCCCTGCTGTTCTGATCCCTTGGATCTGCACGGTTCGTCTCCAGCTCCGCCGCCGTTTCCGGACGGATCTTCCTGTCCTGCGTCTGCACTCTGACAGAGGTGGTGAGTTCTCCTCCGATCTCTTGAGGACCTTCTGTCAGGCGGAGGGCATCGAGCAGACCTTCACGCTTCCGGACTCCCCACAGCAGAATGGGGTTGCTGAGCGCCGCATTGGCCTGGTCATGGAGGTCGCTCGTACCTCCTTGGTCCACGCGGCGGCTCCCCATTTTCTGTGGCCGTTTGCTGTCCGGTACGCCGCGCATCAGCTCAACCTCTGGCCCCGTGTCTCCTTGCCGGAGACCTCGCCCACACTGCGTTGGACGGGGGAGGTTG